CAGGGCGGCGTCCAAGACCCTCCCACATGCCCCCCCGCCCCCTCACCCCCGCACACAAATGCAGGGTAGTCGTGACTTTGTAAACTTCTGAAATGTGCAGCAGACAGAGCCTTGACTAGAAGCACGAGCTCCCTGTCGTCCCGAGAGGCGTGGGGACCTCAATTTACGCATTTGCAAAAAGAAGAAAGGGGAGCACCGGCCGCTCGTGCCCCTCACTTTAGAGGTGACTGCAGAACTCTCACGTGGACGGCTGGCCCCGTTTCCCGCTACCTAAGGAAGCGGGCTCCTCTTTGCCAGCAGTTGAGATGGCGCCTGCGGCGTCAACGCGAGGCGCATGCGCCTTGGAGGGAGCGGCTGGCCGCGCAGGGCGGAACGCGGCTCCTCCTTCCTCCCCGCCCTGCCCCGTTTCCGGCGGAAGCGGCCTCAACAAGAGAAACTTTATTGTTCCCGTTGGGGCGGCGAGGATGTCGGTGAATTACGCGGCGGGACTGTCGCCGTACGCGGACAAGGGCAAGTGTGGCCTCCCCGAGGTGAGCGCGGCCCGGCGTCCCGAAGGCCGCCCCCAGCGCCACGGGCTGGGCGGGGCCGGGCAGCAGCGGGGCATTGTGGGAATATCGGGAGGCACTGAGGCTAGACAATGGGAGGGACTTCCCAGTGGGGAGGGGGCGGGAAGTGACGCCCCCTGCTCTCCCGGGGACTGGAACCCCCCTCCACCCCCATCCCCGGGTCGGCCCGGCGGGATAGAGGGAGGGACCCGCGTCGGTGGAAAGTCCTCAAGTTCTCTGATGGGGGAAGCCAGGGACGGAGTTGCTGGCGGAAGGCACCGCAGGGGCGAAGGCGAGATGGAAATAAACACGCTTGGGGACCAGACTAGGCCACAGAGGTTTCCAGAGCCAGGGCCGGAGGGGCCTCACGTGCCGGGCTGGGGAGCTGACACTTTATCCTGGGGGTGGTGGACAAGAGTTCTAGGCGGGATGATCGTAGGTACGTGTCAGAAAAGACCCCTTCGCCCACTGCAGGACTTGGGGCGAGTCCTTCCCTCTGGGTCCCCTCTCCCCTTCTGGAAGCTGGTGGGGGGAAGATTGCCCCCATCCCCCAAAGGCTGGTCTGTGAGGTATTTAATAGCCCTCAGAATCCCTCCGGAAGTCCCTCTCCTCTTCCTGCCAGTCCATTAGCTGGATTCCACAAACATTTATGGGGCGCCTACTGTGCACCAGGCACTTCCTAGGCCCTGGGGCCCCAGTAGGGACCGAGACAGACAAAAACTCCTCATTCTAGAGGGGAGACAGACAAAGGGCAAGTCAATGCAAGAAGTCAGATGATAGGAAGCTTCAGGGAGACCAGTGAGGCGAGGAGAGCCGGGGCTGCGTTGAAACCAGGGCCCAGGAGGCACCACTCAGATGACTTCTGTTTTCTCCATTTTTTTTTTTTTATTATTGTGGCGAAACACACAACGTGAGAGGTACCGTCTTAGCCATTTTTTTAAGTACACACCTCAGTACACACCATCCATCTCCAGAACTTTCCATCTCCCAAAACTGAGACTCTGTCCCCATGAAGCACTGACTCCCCGCCCCCTGCCCCAGCCCTGGCTCCCATCATCTGCTCTCTGTCTCTGTGGACGGGACTCCTCTAGGGACCCCCTGTGAGTGGGGTCGCGCAGCGTCCTTCCGTGTCTGGCTTCTGTCACTGTGCACGGTGTCCTCCAGATCCATGCACGAGGTGACAGGTGTCAGGAGGTCCTTCCTTTTGGAGGCTGGATCATATTCCAATGTGTGGATGGACCACACTGTGTTTATCCTTCATCCGTCGGTGGACACTGGGGTTGATTCCATGTTGTCGCGGTTGTAAATGATGCTGCCATGAACGTGGGTGTGCAAGTGAGAGGACTTCTCAGCCAAGACCTAAAGGGGATGAGGGAAGAGCCATGTGGGAGAATTCCAGGCAGAGGGCACAGCCTGTGCAAAGGTCCTGAGGCAGCACCAGGCCTGGCGTGTTGGGAGGAAAAGTGAGGAGGCCCCGAGTGGCTGCAGCAGAGAGGGAGAGGAGTTGGGCAGGTCGTGTAAGGCCTCGGGCCACTGGGAGGACTTAGGTTTCTACCCTGAGGGATGCAGGAGCCCTGGAAGCCTGTGGGCAGAGGAGGGACATGAGAACAAGCCACCTTCTCCAATCACTTCTCTGCCCTGGGCAAGGCAGGGGCATTCCCATCTGTGGCCAGCAGCCTTGCCACAATGGGACATGTTTTGACCCCTCCCTTCTGCTCTGTCCCCGGACAGATCTTCGACCCCCCGGAGGAGTTGGAGCGGAAGGTGCGGGAGCTGGCGCAGCTGGTCTGGCAGTCCTCCAATGTGGTGTTCCACACGGGGGCCGGCATCAGCACCGCCTCGGGCATCCCCGACTTCAGGTCTGTGGGCACAGAGGGGAGGTTGAGGCAACACCTGCTGCCATCCCCGCTGGGGGATGTCGGGCCGGGGAAAGACCCTGCCCTTACAGATGTGTCCCTTTAAGTGGCGCCACATTCCACTCACACCCCATTGGCCAGAACGTGGTCACCTGACTCCACCTAGCTGCAAGGGATCCTGGGGAATGTAGTCTTTTGCCTGGGCTCGCTGGACCTGCCTGCCTATTGGGATCCTCTTACCTTAGAAGATGGGAGGATTGGTATTAGGGGTAATCAGCTCCTAATGCAAATATTTTTCTCTCTTTTCTCTCTTATTCTGTCTCCCTGATCCCTGAACTCTCCGTGTCTCTCCCCGCCTGCCACCTTCAGGGGCCCCCACGGCGTCTGGACGATGGAGGAGCGGGGCCTGGCCCCCAAATTCGACACCACCTTCGAGAGCGCGCGGCCCACGAAGACCCACATGGCACTGGTGCAGCTGGAGCGCGTGGGCCTCCTGTGCTTCCTGGTCAGCCAGAACGTGGACGGGCTGCACGTGCGCTCCGGCTTCCCCAGGTGACGCCCGGGTCCGGCCCCGTGCTCTCCAGGCCTCGGTTTCCTCATCTGTAAAAGGGGGGGTTTTGATGGGCCGATGCAGGGGGGCAGCCAGGAGCAGCGCTGGGCACTGGGTGGGAGCCCAGAAACCAGAGCTGTCCTGTGTCATCAGAGCTGCCCGGGCACAGATCGAGAATTGGGGTGCCCTTTCCCGGTCCCGGGGGGTGATTCCAGCCCTGACCGCTCGGGGCCTCTGGCGGCCCGGACTGTGGCCCAGACTGCCCTCGGGTCCTCAGCTGCCAGCCCCACAGCCTGGCCACGGGCCGCTACGACATCCCCCTCGGGGCGAGGCCGGGGGAAATTGGGCGTGGGGAGGAGGGTGCTGAGAATTTAGAATGTTCGTAGTTGGGTTTTCATATCCCTCGTTACTGCCTCCATAGTGAACGTGAACCCTAGTAGGGCAAAGGACTGACTTTTTTTTAGGTTTTGTTTTTTGTTTTTAAGTGTATTCATTTATGTTGAGAGAGAGTGAGTGAGTGGGGGAGGGGAGGAGAGCGAGGAGGAGAGAGAGAATCCCAAGCAGGCTTCACACTCAGTGCAGAGCCCGGCGAGGGGCTCGAACTCACAAACCGTGAGATCACGACCTGAGCTGAAATCAAGTCAGACGCTTAATTGACTGAGCCACCCAGGCGCCCCTCCCCCCCGCCCCCAGAGATAAAATTTCTCTGGAAGTCTGGCAGTTCTCACAACCTAGAGATGTTGCCACGTTTGGGGACTTCACCCTTTCGACATGTAACTAACTAAGCCTCCAGCCCCCTCTGGCTCAGGGTTACCGTCGGGCTCCGGTCTGGGCCGGAACCACTGGCGTCTTATCCTTCGGGTCAGACTGATTTACTAGGCACGTGGCTACAGGCCTGCCCCTCGGGACCTGTGTAGACATTTCTAGAAACAGAAGCAAACGTTTTCTCACTGTGTAGTGAGTACGTTCAGCGGCACGGGAGGATAGGGCTTTTACGGGCATGTGGGGAAAGCCGGCGACATCTGTGTCCCCAAACAGCTGGACAGCACGGTAGGCTGGGGGCGCGTCGGCAGATCAGGAGTGGGGCACGGCCACCCGCTGGCACGCTCCTTCCCAGAGGCGGAGGGCAGCGCCTTGGGGTGGGCCGGCAGGAGTCCACTTGGGGACCGCAGTGTCTCCGACCTCCTGCACCGTGGATTGCACACCCGCGTGTGCCCAGCCATCCCTGGCACCCACCGCCCACGCCTTCACTG